GTTTTGGGTTTACAGGGTTTACAGGGTTTAGGGTTTAGGGTTTAGGGCTTAGGATTTAGGATCTAGGGCTTAGGGCTTTTTAATCACTCTGAAGACCGCTCCCATAATTCGGGTCAACCCCCATAGCCCAAAGCTGTAACGTGCAAGGAAAAAAGCAGGGGGTTGTGGGTTTAGGGTTGTCAGAAACCCTAAAACCCTAAATCCACAAAACCCCAACACCTGAAACCCTACAACCCAAAAGCCCAAAACCCCAAAACCCTAAACCCCAAAAACCCTAAACCCTAAAGCCCCAAAGCCCTGAAACCATAAAACCCAAAAGCCCTAGAAACTTAAAACCCTAAAACCTTAAACCCCTGAACCCCTCAAACCCTAAACCCCTCAACCCTGAACCCCCAAAGCCCTGAAACCCTAAAACCCAAAAGCCCAGAAACCTAAAACCCTAAAGCCCTCAACCCTACACCCTAAACCCAAAAGCCCTAAAACCCTAAAAACATGCAACAAAACCCTATAACCCGACAACCCCAAAGCCCTAATACCCTAAAGCCCTAAAACCCTAACACCCTAAAGCCCTGAAACCCTAGCCCCACAGCCCTAAAACCGTAAACCCTAAACCCTAAACTCTAAACCCTAAACCCCAAACCCCAAACCCTAAACCCTAAACCCTAAAACCCTAAACCCTAAACCCTAAAACCCTAAACCCTAAACCCTCGGCCTCGAGGGCGCTCCGCGCGGCGCGCTCGAGGTCGAACTGGCTGCGGACATGGCCGAGGCGCTCCTGTAGCGCCTGGTTTGGGGTTTAGGGTTTAGGGTTTAGGGCTTAGGGTTTAGGGTTTAGGGTTTAGGATTTAGGGTTTAGGAATGAGGGTTGAGGGTTTAGGGTTTAGGGTTAGCAGCGCCTGAGAATCTTTGGCTTTGGGGGGTGGCTTGGGCTTAAGGTGGCTTGGGGTTTAGGGTTTAGGGTTTAGGGTTTAGGGTTTAGGGTTTAGGGTTTAGGGTTTAGGGTTTAGGGTCTAGGGTCTAGGGTTTAGGGTTTAGGGTTTAGGGTTTAGGGTTTAGGGTTTAGGGTTTAGGGTTTAGGGTTTAGGGTTTAGGGTTTAGGGTTTAGGGTTTAGGGTTTAGGTTTTAGGGCTTGGGGTTTAGGATTAGGCGTTAGGCGTTTAGGGTTTAGCGTTTGGGGTTGAGGGTTGAGGGTTTGAGGGTTTAGTAGCGCCTCTTTGGTTTTGGGGTGGTTCGGAGTGTTTGGGTTTTAGGGTTTAGGTTTTGGGGGGCTTAGGGCTTTCGGGTTTCAGGGTGTCAAGGTTGCAGATTCTTTAGGGTTTGCGGCTTTTGGGGGTTCAGGGTTTCAGTGTTTCAGGGTTTTCGGGGTTTGGGGTTTCGGGGTTTAGGGGTTTAGGCGTAGGGGTTTCGGGGTTTAGGGGTTTAGGGGTTTGGGCTTTCATAAACATCGTATAGGGCTCAGGGTTGAAGGTTCGGGCTTTTAGGGGTTTGTGGCTTGGGGTTTCGGGTTTAGGGTTTAGAGTTTGGGGCTCAGGGTGGAGGATTTGGGGTTCAGGGTTTAGGGCTTGGGGTGGAGGGGTTAGAGTTTAGGGTTTGGAGTTTTAGGGAGCGGGCGTTTCTAGCTTTAGGGCTGATAAGGCATGTGGCCGGTTAAGGGTAAGAGCTCAGGGCTTAGGAGTTTTTGGCCCAATTCTCGACCCCAAACCCCAAACCCTGTAAACACCGCACACCCTAAGCCCTACAAACCCTAAACACATAAACCCGAAGCCCGCAGACCCCAAAAATCACAAGATAGTACATTAGTGAAAACCACAACAAGAACAAGAACAAGAACAAGAACAAGAACAAGAACAAGAACAAGAACAAGAACAAGAACAAAAGCAGTAGCAATAACAATAACAATAACAATAGCAATAACAATAACACTAACACTAACACTAACACTAACACTAACACTAACAATAACAATAGCAATAACACTAACACTAACACTCACAATAACAATAACACTAACAATAACAATACGCCTGACCTCGTGGTCGCCCTCGAGGTTGAGCAGCTGCTGGAGGATCGAGTCGCCCAGCTCCTCGAGGTTTAAGAGGTTTCTTGAGGGGCTTTGAATGTTTAGGGTTTAGGGTTTAGGGTTTAGGGTTTAGGGTTTAGGGTTTAGGGTTTAGGGTTTAGGGTTTAGGGTTTAGGGTTTAGGGTTTAGGGTTTAGGGTTTAGGGTTTAGGGTTTAGGGTTTAGGGGCGTTTCAGGGTTTAAGAGAGTAAGGGTGGTTTTGGGGCTTTCAAGGGGCTAAGGGGCTAAGGGTTTGAGGGTGTTTCAGGGGTTTAAGCAAAAGAGAGAGAGAGAGAGAGAGAGAGAGAGGGAGAGGGAGGGCAGGGAGGGAGGGAGGGAGGGAGGGAGAGAGGAGAGAGAGAGAGAGAGTAAGGGTGCTTGGGGGTTGTATTTTTCGGGGCGCTTTTTTTGGCTTTAAGTGCGCTTTCGGGGCACTTTTTGGCTTAGGTTTTATAACGGGGCTCTTGATCGCACATTTAGGGCTCCGGGGCTTCGGCGTTTTGGACTTAAGCTCGCTTTCGTTTTCCCAGGATTCCGGGGCTCGGCTCCTGCACCCGACGCGCGAAACCCTACACCGAATTGTTTTTTGTTTTTGTTGCGCGTTTTGTTTTTTTTTTTTTGGAGGGGGTGGGGTTACAGAGCCCGCGGGCCTCGTCCAGCGTCTTGCGCAAGATGACCGCCTTGGCCGCTGCGCTCAAGCACCTAGGCGTTGCTTAGCAGGGCCCCTGGTAGGGAGTTCCCCACTCACAACCCCTGCGCCCCCCTAACTGGGACCTGCTTCTGAAATCCCCTGAGACGCCCCTGGAAGCCTGGGACCCCCCTGAGGACTCCAGGCCTAACACCTTCAAGACCCTCCTTGGACGCCGAAAACAACCCCTTGACAAGAACGCCCTGAAACAGAAGAAGTTTTTAGAAGTGAGTTTAGGCCTAAACCCTAAAAGGAATAGGTTTGGGTGGCTTTCGGCGCGGTCACGAAGCTGTCGAGCTTGTGTTCCAAAGCCTAACCTTCACAGCATCTACGCCATATCACGGCAAACCCTAAACCCGAAAGCCTAGACCTGAACCCTCAGCTGAGCCCTAAACCCTGAACCCTAAACCCCAAACCTTCCCAAACCCCTTAAAGGGTAGTACGTGGGGATATACGGTACTTTAGTTCCCTCGTTCTCAACAAAGAGTAAGAAGGGCTCCGGGGTTCCCAAAGAAACCAACAAGTTCTGGCGGCGGGCAAGTTTAGGGATTACAGCCCTGAAGTCTGTCAGTTCAGGGTTGACCCTGGGGTTTGCGGGCAAAAAAACCAACAAGTTCTGGTGGCGGGCCCGCCGCACCCCAACCTCCCCAAAGCCCCCCACACACAACCCTATACCCTAAACCCTACACCCTAAACCCTAAGCTTTTCAACCCTGAACCCTAACCATAAACCCGAAACCCTAAAACCTAAACCCCCCCCCCCCCCCCCCCCCCCCCCCCCCCCCAAAAAAACAACATATAATAAGGCCAAAAACATCCAAAAAAGAAACCCCTCCCCCTCTCCCCCCCCCTCCAAGTCCCCCGAAAAAACCGAGGCCGCTTCTCGTCCAAGAGCTTCGTGGCCACCCAGCGCCAGCAGCAGCTCGTGGACCTTCATCGTTTAGGATTTAGGGTTTAGGGTTTAGGGTTTAGGGTTTAGGGTTTAGGGTTTAGGGTTTAGGGTTTAGGGTTTGGGGTTTGGGGTTTGGGGTTTAGGGTTTTTAGGGTTTAAGTGAAAATACCCTTAGTAGCCCAGTGACTTGGGATGCTCACCCGTATACTAACGGTCCTTAGTAGGGACTCTAGTACCCTCTATTGTAATCCCTTTAAGGACTGTTAAAGGGGGGAATGCCTCAACCAATAGCCATATTTTAATAAGGGGACCCTTTTTGGGGTTGGCTACTTTGTAAGGGAATCCAGAACCAAAAAAAGGGTGTAAAGGGTACCGCCACAAGCCCGTGGCCCCCATAGCCGGTGCTTAGGAGTTGAGGGGTTGGGTTCAGTGCTTGAGGGTTTTCAGGGTTTCGGGTTTTGGGGCTTGGGGGGCTTATGAGGGTTTAGGGTTGAGGGTTTAGGGTTTAGGGTTTAGGGTTTAGGGTTTAGGGTTTAGGGTTTAGGGTTTAGGGTTTAGGGTTTAGGGTTTAGGGTTTAGGGTTTAGGGCTTATTATGGGGCTTTTGGGAAACTTGCACCCGGCTCGCGCCTGCAGGGCCTAAGCCGCGTGCCCGGAGCCAGGTGCTGTATGGCCGCCTGCAGGTGTCACGTGTTTGGGGTTTAGGATTAGGGTTTAGGGTTTAGGGTTTCGGGTTTAAGGTTTGTTGTTTAGTGTTTAGGCAATGTGAACTGCCAGTGAAAACATCGATGCTTTGGCAAAAACAACCCCTGTGTAACCATCTCAAGGAATTCTGGGAGAACACTTTCCCTAATTCCCTACAGACCAGTACGGCGTAAACCCCCAACCCCAAACCCCAAACCTCAAACCCTAAACCCTAAACCCTAAACCCTCAACCCTAAACCCTAAACCCTAAACCCTACACTCAACCTTCCTCTGGGGCCTCGGGGCATCGCAGCTCCGGTGGCAACCCCCGGCCCTCCGTCTCACGCAAGCTTGAGACCAGCACCTTGCACAAGGTTTCGGATTTGGGGTTTAAGGTTTAGGGTTTAGGGTTTAGGGTTTTAGGGTTTAGGGTTTTAGGGTTTAGGGCTTAGGGTTTAGGGTTTAGGGTTTAGGGTTTAGGGTTTAGGGTTTAGGGTTTAGGGTTCTGCATCTAGGGTTTAGGGTTCTGTAAGTTTTCGAAGTTCGGGATTCAGGTTTAAGGTCCATGCTCTGCAGGGTTTAAGGCTTAAAGGCTTTCGGGTTCAGATCTGCACGGGCTTGATGCTGAAGGTTTACGGCATAAGCCCCAGCAGCTCGTCACTTTAAGGCTGAGCGTTGGGCCTCGGATTTAGGGTTTAGGGTTTAGGGCTTACGCTTCAGGGTTTCGGGGTAAAGGGGATGGGGAAAACCCCCCAATTCCCTCAGTGCTGCCAGGCCTCTCATGACCACAAGCGCATCACAGGTCGCGTGCGGCTAACACACCCCCAAGCCCCAAGCCCCAAAACCGAAAACCCTAAACCCTAAACCCTAAACTGCCCGCTTCATAAGTCTCAACACCCAAGTGAACCCTAAACCCCTCCACCCTGTATAACGCCCCTGCCCCGGATGGTAGAAAGTCCCGTTTTGGTGTATGGACATATGGGTAGTCTCCTAAACTAGGGTCCCTTTTGGGTACCCATTATAAGGCGGCACCCTGTAAAAAAGTATCCCAAAAAGGGACCCTAATTAAGAGAACTACCCATATGGATGGCAATATCGAACACTAGAGGAGGCGGGCTTGCAATATCAGTGGGTGCAGGATGAACTTCCAAAAGCCCTAAACTCCAAAACCCTGGACCCTAAACTCCAAACCTCAAACACTTAAACCCTAAACCCTAAACCCTAACCCCTGAACCCTAAACCCAAACCCCATACCCTAAACCCTAAACCCTAAACCCTAAACCCTAAACCCTAAACCCTAAACCCTAAACCCTAACTCTCCGAGGCGGCGACATTGGCAATGCCGTCCACCGGCCTTGCACTTGAAATTCCCCAAGTCGCTTCTGCCAAAGATTAGAACCCAGTCTGCATGTGTTCAGGGTTTAGGGTTAGGCTTTGCTGTTTAGGGGTTTAGAGGTTTAGGGCTTAGGCTACGCTGTAGGCAAATTTTACTATCAGGTAAGGGGCTTAGAGCTTTGGATGATACAGGGTTTAGGTGAAGCCCTAAACCCTAAACCCAAGTACACCCAACTCTGAACCCGGCATGAGGCGTTGGAAAGATCTGGGTCCTATTGTCAAAAGGTTCCAGGCCCCCGAACCAAAACCCTAAACCACAAACCCGAAATCCTAAACCCTAAACCCTAAACCCTAAATCCTAAACCCTTATACAAGAGCCTTCAGAGTCCCTCGCAAGCGCCTGCAAATGCCCTCGGAAGACTGCCCCTGAACCCCAAAGCCAAAACCCAAAACCCTAGACCCTAAACCCTAAACCCCAAAAGAGGAGCCGGGTGGCAGGGGCGGTACGTCCTCGACCTCCCTGTGCTCGAGCCTCGTGCAATCGGCCGGCTGCTAGGTTTGGGGCTTGGGGCTTAGGGTGTAGGGTTCAGGGTTTAGGGCTCAGGGTTTAGGGTTTAGGATTTTGGGTTTTGGGTTTTGGGTTTAGGGTTTAGGGTTTGGGTTTAGGGTTTTTGGGTTTAAGTTCCTGCGCCGTGTTGCCTTCCGGGTTTCAGTGAGGGAAGATCATCCCCATCCGAGGGGCTAGCGCTTCTCGGTTGTTAGGGTGTTGGGCGTGGGGCCTTTTTGGGCAGCGTTTGGGCCTCGGTTGCAGTTTTTTGAATTCCAAGGTTTCGGTGCTCAGCGGCAGTGACTGGCGTCCAGGGTTCGAGGGCAGTTGACATGGTTACTGGGCTACCAAGACACCCGAAGCTTTCAAAACGCAGCGCGCAATCCCGCCGTGGCTTGCGGAAGCCCCTAAACCCTAAACCCTAAACCCCAAACCCCAAACCCCAAAGCCTAAAGCCTAAACCCTAAACCCTAAACCCTAAACCCTAAACCCTAAACCCACCCTAAACCCACCCTAAACCCACCCTAAACCCTAAGCCCCAAACCCTAAACCCTGAGTATCGGATGGCTACTATCAGGCTCGAGTCTTCCAGTCAGCCTATGCTTCGAAATGCAAGAGCTTCTAAGCCTTGCTCTTCCTCTCCTAAGTTTTAAGGTTTAGGGTTTAGGGTTTAGGGAGCCCCTGACGCCAAACCTCAAAGTAAGGTTTGGGGTTAAGGGCACCCTTTTTTGGGGTTGGTTACTTTAAAGGGGAACCTTGAACCCAAAAAAGGGAAAAGGGTACCACTGGGCTGCCTAGGTGCAATTTTGGGGGCCTTCATAATTAGAGTAGGGCTTTGGGGGTTTTTAATAGTACAATGATAACAGGGACTCTCTGGGAATACTACCAGCAATTATTCCGACCCCTATATTAGGGTTTAGGGTTTAGGGTTTAGGGTTGTAGGGAGCGCCCGTGGTGGGATGTGCCCTGCGGAGGCTACCCATTGTACTACCCAGCATTGAAGGATCTCCAGTCAACTCCGGGGACCAAAATCACCCCTCATCTAAGCCCCAAAACCCTCAACACCCCTTGGTGCCCTGAAACGGTAAAGGGTTCAGGGAATTAGGGCTTAGGGGTTTCCCCCTCCACCCTTAAGCCCTGAAAACCCTTAAGCCCCGAAACCCTAAACCCTAAACCCTAAACCCTAAACCCTAAACCCTAAACCCTAAACCCTAAACCCTAAACCCTAAACCCTAAACCCAGACAGCTCGGAAGGGGGGCGCCTCGCAGACAGAGGCCGCCGCGGCTGGGGGAGAGGCCTCTCAGGCCTATAGGACTTAAGGGCTTTCAGGTCTCGGCTTTGGGGTTTAGGGTTTAGGGTTTAGGGTTTAGGGGCTTTCAGGCTTAGGGTTTGGGGTTTAGGGGTTTGGGGTTTAAGGCCTAGGGTTTGGGGTTTGGGGCTTGGGGTTTAAGGGCTTTAAGGCTTAGGGTTCGGAGTTTGGGGCTTGCAGGGCTAGGCTTCAGTCTTTCAGGGATGCGGGTCTTGCACGTTCACGGTGATTCTTCACTTTCCATCCTAAAGGGAGTGTACGGCCACCATGTGAAGGCTGTTCTCAGGGTGATCTGCTCCTTCCCAAAGAAGTCGCGCATCCGACTCGACTCGCTTCGGGCTTCAGGGTTAGGGGATCCGCAACCTAAGACCCAAAGCGCCGGCCGCGAAAGCCCCCCTAGAACCCCCTAAACCCCCCCCCCCTACAGCCCCCTAAAGCGCCCCAGCCCCCCCACCAAACCATGCTGAATTCAAAACGCCCTAAACCCTAAACCCCAAACCCTAAACCCCAAACCCCCAACCCTAAACCCTCTTCTACAACCTTGGGGGGGCCTCTGGGATCGCTGTTCGGACGCCGAACTGGGCCGGACCTTGGGCGCATCGGCTCTGGAGGGGTTTGGGGTGATGCTTGTGGGTTTTCGGGTTTAGGCCTAAAAACCTGAAGCCCGAAGCTCCAAGCCCTAAACCCTACTGGGGTTTGGCTTCTTTGGTTTTGTGCGAGGGTTGGCTTCGGATTCCGGGACCTCGGATCCCAAAAGCCCTCGAAAGCGAAGAGCCTAAAACATCTGAGGGGCCCCCCCTAAACCCCGAATAAGAACTCGAAACAAGTCCAAGCCCTGGGTTTAGGTTCTAGGGCTTTAGGGCTTTAGGGCTTTAGGGCTCTAGGGCTTTAGGGCTTCAGTGCTTTAGGGCTTCAGGGCTTTAGGGCTTCAGGGCTTTAGGGCTTTAGGGCTTCAGGGCTTTAGGGCTTCAGGGCTTTAGGGCTTTAGGGCTTTAGGGCCCTAGGGCTCTAGGGCTTTAGGGCTTTAGGGCTGACACCCCCAAACCCTCAAGCCTTGCTGTCTCAAGCAGTGCGTGCTTTAAGGCCCTTGCTGCGTGCATCGCGGCAGCCCCGACCCCCCCCCCGTGTGGGGGGAGACGGAAGGCGAAGGGCTTTAGGGCTGCAATGCTCGTCTGGGGCTTAGGGTTTTAGGGTTTAGGGTTTAGGGTTTAGGGTTTAGGGTTTAGGGTTTAGGGTTTCGGGTTTAGGGCTTTTAAGTTCCGGGCTTCCGAGTCTGTAAGGTTTTGGCCTAACTTTCTTCTCTGGCTTCTCGGCGCTCACCGTTGGGTGCCATGCTGCCAGCTGTGATGGCCCATGTTCGTGCTTGAGCAGCGGCGTGCGCGAAGACAGGTCATCCCCATGGCTTGTCTCCGCCTGTCCAGCTCGCTAGGTCGCTATCTCTGTCGAGTCTCTCTCCCTCTCGCTCTCTCTCTCTCTCTCTCTCTCTCTCTCTCCCTTCCCCGCTCTCTAAACCCTAAACCCTAAACCCTAAACCCTAAACCCTAAACCCTAAACCCTAAACCCTAAACCCTAAACCCTAAACCCTAAACCCTAAACCCTAAACCCTAAACCCTAAACCCTAAACCCTAAACCCTAAACCCTAAACAGAGACAGAGAGAGAGAGGGAGAGAGAGAGAGAGAGCGAGAGACCTGTCGTGGACTCGTGGATGACTCGGATTGCTTCTCCGAGCACCGATTTTCTGTGTGTGTTTTGTGCGCGAAGGGAACCTTGCTTTGAGGCCTCTCGTGAAACAAACAAGCCAGCTGCCACTTGTTCACAGGAGGGGTTTAGGGTTCAGGGTTTAGGGAGTGGGGTTCAGGGTTTAGGGTTTGCTTTAGGGCTTCGGGGTCTCCCTACTGCCCCTAACCCCCAAAGCCTGAACCCTAAAGCCAATCAAGAAAGAGGGCCTAGGGTTTAGGGTTTAGGGTCTGGGGTTCTAGGGTTTAGGGTTTGGAGTCGTCATGCAGGGTTCCGGATTCTGGTGGTATTGCAGGCTTGGTAGGGCTTCGGGTCGAGGGCTTAGGATTGAAGGTCCACTCTCGTACCCTACGCAAGCTAACCACAAACAACCCTGAACCATATAAACCCTACACCCTAAACCCTACCAAGCCCTAAATCCTAAACCCTATAAATCTCAACCCTCAGCCCTTCCTGCGTGCGGGCAGCCTTTGCGACGGCAGCGTCCCAGGCCACTAGTACACTGGTAAGTGCCGGGGTCTTAAATTCGCGTAAAGGCTTGGGTGATTTGGGGTTTTTCCGAAACTAGGGGTACCTTAATGGGGTCCTTACCAATAAGGGGATCCTACGATTAGAGGATCTATATGGGGCGTCCCGTGTTTTCGTAAACCCCCCATTTGCGGAATTCAGGGGTTTCAGTGTCTGGGCTTGAGGGGGTTTCCCGGTTCAGGCTTGAAGGGAGCCTAGGGAACCCCCGCTCCCCCTAAACCCTAAACCCTAAACCCTAAACCCTAAACCCTAACCCCTAAACCCTAAACCCTAAACCCTAAACCCTAAACCCTAAACCCTAAACCCTAAACCCTAAACCCTAAACCGAGCGACCAGGGTGTGTAGGTGTAGGGCTTCGGGCTCGGGGTTTAAAGTTTTTGGGCTTCAGGGCTTGGGCCCTAAGATGCCCTGCAGTGTCTGGAAGGCGAAGGTCGAAGGCCTCCTCACATGGACAGAACCGTGGGCGAAGTGGTTTAGGGGTTTTGGGGTTGAGGGGCCTAGGATTAAGAGTTGAGGGCTTGGCGCTTCTGTTTGAGAGTTTAGGCTTGTCTTCGGGGGGGGAGAATAGGGCGTGCATCGCAAGAGTGGATCAGAGGAAGCTGCCTCTAGACGCAGAGCATGTCACAGGAATTAACCGCCTCAGCCGCAACGATCTTGGTCGCAGCCACGGCAAGAGCTTGCAATGCTAATGCAGCGAGGGGAGGCTGAGTTGTTAACTGAGCCAGGTGCCTAGGTGTACAATTGTAGATGCATATAAATTACACACATTCTTGCATTACCTTCCCCTCCATACATTACAGACACACACACACACACACCGTCTCCCTCTCTCTCTCTCTCTCGCTCTCTCTCGCTCCCTCTCCATACACTCCCCTGAAACTTGAACCTACATGCCTACAGTCTTAAGCAGCCTCTGTGGCCCCCATTGTCTTCCTGCCGCCACATGAAAAGGCTACCCAAGCGCCAAAGCCCCAACAGGAAAAGAAAGCAACAAAACGCGACAGCAACCACCCAACCATCCTAAACCCGAAATCCTAAGCCCTAGGCCTAAATCCTTAACCCCATAGGAACCCTAAACCCTTAAACCCTAAACCCATAAACATCCCCTTGGGCAAGAAACGTGGGGTTTGGGTTTAGGGCTTAGGGTCGGCCCCGATTACCTGAAAGGGGGGAGGGGGGGGGGGGGGGCCGACCTACGGTTTAGGGATTAAGAGGATTCCATTAAATAAATTCCAACAAGGGGGCTTCTTAACCCCCTCAACCCTGTGTGCACTCTCAACCCGAAACCTTACAACCCTGAACCCGAAATCCTAAACCCTAAGCCCTAAACCCTAAACCCGAAACCCTAGAGCTTTTGAAGCCTCGGCCTCTCCCACACTCCGCAGCTCACTCGTTAGATCGGCTTTGGGCACAGCGCCTGCAATCCATCGAGTCAGAAATCGTGTTGGGTCATGAGTGCTAAAAGTGCTAAACCCACGCCCTAGGCCCTGAAACCCTTAGCCCTAAACCCTAAACCCTAAACCCTAAACCCTAAACCCTGGACCCTGGACCCTTAGCCCTAGACCCCTGAGCCCAAATCGTTGCTTCCCATCGGCCCGCCTGCCAAGCTCACCGCCTGCAAGCCAGGAGGCGCTCAAGGGCGTGCAAGTCTTCATCATTCAGGGTTTTGGGTTTATAGGGTTTAGGGTTTATAGGGTTTAGGGTTCCTAGGGTTTAGGGTTTAGGGTTTAGGGTTTAGGGTTTAGGGTTTAGGGTTTAGGGTTTAGGGTTTAGGGTTTAGGGTTTAGGGTTTGCTGGGTTTATAGAGCTTAGGATTCAGGATTTTGGGTCTTTGTGCTTAGGAAACAGGGTTCGTGCACGCGGGGTTGGGGCGTTGAAGGCAAGATTGCGGACATCTAGCGGACCCAGAAACTTTGGAGAGGCCCCAGAATGGGCTATAGGGTTTAGGGTTTAGGGTTTAGGGTTTAGGGTTTAGGGTTTAGGGTTTCGGGTTTAGGGTTTATCGCTGCACTTGTGTTAAGGCAGTCTCGTCGTGCCCTGCTTCGCTCAAAAATCGTGGCTGCTCTGTCTTGTTGTAGGGGAACCCTCGTACAACATGTGTCGGAAACCCCGAAACCCTGGAGCCCAAAAAAACAGCCTAACCCCAGACCCCTTAAACGCCAAGCTCGTTGTAAACGGCCCTTTTGCTGCGGTCACCGGGTGTCGGCAAGCCACTTTTACCAGGAACATGTGAGCTCGAAACGTTTAACTAGCCCTAAACTCTGTCAGCCGAACCCCTAAACCCAGAAACCAGATACCCGACTCCCAAAACCCTCAACCCTCAACCCAAACTCAGAAACCTGAGCACTAAACGCTAAACCCAAAAGCCCACAAACCCAAAACCCCAAAACCCTAAACCCAACCAATCCCCCAAAACCCAAAACACCTTCAACCTCCAACCTCAAACCCCAACAACACGAAAACTCTAAACCAAAAAACCCTATAAACCTAAACCTTCCATCCCATCAAAAACCCTAAAGCCTAAACCCAAAAACCCTAAACCCCAAGCCTAAACCCCTAAACCCTAAACCCTAAACCCTAAACCCTAGACCCTAGACCCTAGGCCCTGAACCCTAAACCCTAAACCCGAAACCCTACACCCTAAACCCTACACCCTACAAACCCTAAACCCTACCACCCGGGCTCCTTCAAGCGTACAGAGCCGGCACCGATTCCGACCTGG